AAAGGAAGAAAAAGGGAAAAGAAAAGGAAAGGAATAAAAATGGGGAAATTAAAAAAAAAAAAAGACCATGGGGGAGGGGGGGGGGGGGGGGCAGTTGACCCCAGATATTTTGAAAACGTCCAGTTCGGTTGCTCGAACTCCCTTCACTCCTTTTGCTTTTGAGATTCTTCGGAAAACTTTTAACGCATCTTTCCCCCTCCCCCACCAGAAAATTATTCCGCATACGGCCCTGAAAAATTAAAACAAATGAAGATAGGAAAATATAAGTGATATAACAAATTTGAAACTCTTCGCTGGCGCGAACTGCTTGCTAGCCTAGTTTTGTATTAAATGTTTTGACTTGCTCGTCCCCCTGAAAAAAGAAAAGGATTAGTATTGCCTAGAATACAATTGTGCCTGCCCCGACCTGCAACCATGGCAAAAATAACACACAATATATGTACCAAATGTTACTAAAAGAGACTAATTCAACACTCGCTCGCGAATAAAATGAATAGACATTGCTTTGGAAACAATTGTTTGACCTGCAAAAGGAAGAGTTTTTTCGCCCTCTCGCCAATTGTATTTTTCTCGCTCGCTACACTCGCTCGCGAATAAAATGAATAGAATCTGAAATCTGAAATTTATAAACCAATTATCATTACAAAAATTTTGCTCGCTCGCTACGCTTGCTCGCCAAAATAGAAATAACACCGCTTTTAATAATCACGTCCCTGACATGGAACAATGAACCAAAGTTTTATGTACCATATTTTCCCTATAAAAGAAAAGTGATTTTTTTTTCGCTCGCTACGCTAGCTAGCTCGTGGAATTATGTGCCCACCACTAACCTGCTACAATATCATTAAAAAGAGAAATGTAGGGGGTTGCCTGCCCGCCAAAATGGGATTGACATTGCCTTAAACACGATTGTGCCCGCCCCCTACCTGCAACAATGAAACAAATTTTATTTAGCAATTCATTGAAAGAAAGATGTATTTTCGCTCGCTAGCTAAAATGGGTATAAAATCACCCTAAACACAATATTGTTCCCGCGCCCTGCATGGGACAATTGAACCAAGTTTAAGTGGCAATTATTAAAAAAGAAGTGACTTTTTTCTTGCTCGCTACACTCGTTTGAAAAAATGAAATTAACTTTGCTAACAAGTGAATGTTCCCACCCCCAACTTGCAACAATACCAGTTTATATACCAAACGTTACTAAAAGATTTTTTTTGCTCGCTCGCTCGCCAGAAGTGAAAATTAGCATCGCCTTTTTTTTGTTTGCCCCCCCCCCCCCCTGACGGAGTACCCCAGGTACGCCACTGACCTGAGCTAAACTCATTTTGAATGCAGTTTGTGAAAATTGTGTCAATCAATGTTACACTAATTTCAGTTATACGGGTAGGTTTAGTGACAAGAGACAATAATCCAAATGAGTACATAATATCAACAAAATCTTTAACACTATGATCATTATTATAACTCAATAAATTGATGTTGAAGTTACCCATTAAATAGATTTCCTTGTTTTCTTTACTCAATATCTGTAGCTGATGTTCTAAATTTTCAACAAGGATGAATTATCATAGTTAGGAGCCCTATACCGTGCGTCCCCAAAAAAACTATACACTTTTGAAATGGTTGCCGAATAAGAAAATATATCATTCTGGGGATTTATGTTATATGTATGGAAAGCTCATACACTCAACTTTCATATGACACCAAAAAGTCCGAAAATAATTCATGCTTGGGTGAGCATTGCTCACTTTTGTAAAGGGTATGGAAATTAGGTTGCGCAGGAATTAGCCTTCCAATTTGTGAAAGGTAAATCCTTTTGAGCTTATAACATTGAGGGTGATATGATACATTCATGATTTGCTGAGTGAATTTCATGGTTTATTAAACCAAACTTTTATGCATGAGTGAACAGGAATTGCATTTTTTTATTGTATCATTGTAATTTTCCCTGGTAGACTTAGTGTTCATGGTGTGTTCATGGGAGTCAGGATGGGGTGATGGTACCTGAAGAATAAGTAGCCAACATCAAAGTCACAGATGTAAAATGTTTATGAGCTTTCCATATACAACTTTTCCTCCAGAATCATATTTTTTTTTATTCGGCAGCCATCTCAAAAGTGTATAGTTTTCTTGGGGGCGCACTGTATACACATCCAACAACAATCTTTTTACTGAAGCTTGTTATTTGAACAAAAACAATTTCACACCCTGAATTTGACCCAGATAAATCTACACGTAATATAAATTCCAAATCATCTTTAATGTACAAAAATACCCCACCGCCATTCTTTTCTGCTCTACATAATATGAACAAAAGAAAAGCCAGGTATCAGAAATATTGATATTAGATGTAGTTTTAAACCAAGTTTCAGAGACACCTATCTTGCTTTAAGCAAGACAGCAATTGTAACAAATCATCATAATTCTTACATAAATTCCTGGCATTTACATGCAAAAGATCAATATTTCCTTGTAGATTTTGTTGAAATGCACCGCAATCGACATATGCACAATCTCTTAGCATTATGTTCACAAACAAGTTGGTGATTGGTGATATGGTATCAAGAGCGAGAAAGCGAGTATTTATGATAAGTCGTCTTCAAAAGGCATCTGTCCCAAGTTGTGACCTAGTCAACATCTACTCATCTTACATACGTCAAGCTTGTAGTATTCATCTCCCCTTTGGTCTCCAAGCATCACTGCAAATCAGTACAATGATATTGATATGTCTCTAACGATCATGCTCTAGAGTACCTCTCCATCTGCCGTATGTCGGAGCGGCATGAACAACTACTGGATTCCTTTGCTCGTAGTCTGTTGAAATCTCCCCGGCACCGGAATCTTCTCCCTCCCTTACGTAGTGATATCTCCTCTCGTCGCCTACGCTCTTCACATCTTCTCAACACCCCCTCTGTCGAACTACCCGGTATTATTCCTCAAAGATGCCCGCTATTGTTAGACTGCTTAATTCACCTTGAATCTTTGAAATAAAACTAACGAGTCAACAAAACAATGTCTTTGTTTATATTTCCACATGCATTGGCATCTACTGATTGCTACTTTCGTATCTCTTCTTCTATGTGCAATATCAATTAATAACAGAACCTGAGAATGATTTTTCCAATCAATGTGAAATATTATATACCTATTTATGCCTATTTACTTCTTTATCGATGTCAACATTACATCTTTATCATCACTATACTTAATGCATTCAAGGTTTCTTCACTTTATACTCTCTGATGTACGATTGATTTGCCAATTTCGTTGAGTTCAGGAATATCACTTTGTTTAAATAATATTGAAACTTAGCTTTAATATCTTATCTTTAATCATATTTTATCTGTATACACTTTTAAATGTTATCCCACCTACGTATCACTGTTGCAATAAACCTGTAAATTGTTAATTATCAAATTTCTATTTCATGTACAACGAATGACAATTTTATACCATCAATGAAACTTGTCAATCGTATTTAAATATACACAATATTTGTTGCGTGTTCTATATATTTTAATGTGTTATTGATGTAATGTTATATGCCATGTACTTTTTACTCTGTAAATTGAACAATTTCAGGTTTTAGTTGCATGTCCGATAACTTCTATTTCAATAAACCAATACAATACATCTTCTTCTACAATGGTATCTATTATTAACTATTTAGAAAACCAATGGCACAACAAACCCTATACACATACAAGTCTTGTAAAAGACTACTCAAGATGGACCTACCAAACATGCACACAGACAGGGCATACTCACATGGATACATAACAAAGCACACACAGACATTCACACACAAAAAGACACACACACACACAATACATGGATATGAGTAAATATAAGAAGTATAAGAACAAAGGTAACGGTAAAGACACACATAGTGAAAGAATAATAGGATGAATAAGAGAGAATATAAGGATGGTGAGTAAAGAAGTTTAAAAAAGGCAGAAATCTTTGGAGATTACAAGGCAAACATGCAGCCAGGAGCATATTATGAGAATATTGTAATCATGTTTACGGAAAAAAGGTCTATCTCAGCCTTCTTAGGTCTTCAACAGAGTTAATGTTCTTTTTATCACCAGTTTCATTGGGGGCGATAACTCTGCCATCACTTGGCCAAACGACCTTCACTTTACTGCAATTTTTTGGCCTGCTTGAGAAGGTCGGCATTGGTTCGGGTGAGGTCGTCTTGTTTAGATTTCCTCTGGCCTGCTAGCTTCCGTCGGTTTCTTATTAATAGCTGACGCTTCCCGTATGACGCAAGTAACAATGATGGGCCGGGGACGAGGACGACACCCACCCCCCCCCCCCTGACGTTGGCTCGCGATGTTTCACGCCAACCCTATGGCTCCGCTCTATGTCCTCTTTCGTGATGGGGACTTGAAGAATGGAGTAGGCAAGGTGCAGGACGACTCGGTGTTTTCCTTCTCAGACTCCTCCAACCCAGTGAAACGGAGACAGTTCCTCCGGTAGTACTGCTCCTGATCATTTGCAGCTCGTTGCAGGGAATGGATGCTCACTGATTGCTTGCAAACCTCCTCCTGCAACGGCTTGATCTATTTATCCTTCTCACGAGCAGAGGACTCAAGGTCAAGCACTTGACCTTGAAGGGTCTCAACGGCAGATGCAAGTTCAGCTAGGCGTTTTTCAACTGCCGTTCCAACCAATGACAAGAAATTCTCGAACAAACCGACTGAATGCTCATGAGTCTTCTCTACTTTTGACCCAGTCAGAAGCTGGACGTCAGAACGCTTGCGCTCCTTACCCGCAGACACGGGAGACGAAGCGAGCATAGCGGCCTTACTAGACTTCGTAAGCCAAGAAATAAGCTCAGTGCGACCGGGTCCAACCCGCTCCTCTGCGTCAGAGGCTCAACAATCAAGATTACGGGAGCCCCTGTGAGATCGGAATCTTTGCGTTTCCCGAAAGTGGATCAAACAACGTCGTGGGAGAAACCGGGAGCACTCTTAACGGGTCGTTGTATTGCAACCATGTCGTAAGACACATAGCTTGACCCACAGGCGGAGCTCAGTGTGACGACTTCCACATGACTAGCCGACCCTATGGTGGTGCCTGTCATAACTAGAAGGGGAGGAGATCTCCGGAGGAGGGAAAAACCTCCAAACTCACAAGATACCTGTCACCGGACTGGCAAAACACCGTGAGCGGTATACCTGCGGAGGGAGAAGGAAAGCCTGGGCCGTACTTAGCTGGCAGAGCCAGTGAGAAGGCCTCCGGTAATTAAGACTCTAGGAGAGCCTGCACGTCGGCTGGCAAATCGCGCGGGAGCCGCGCCGACTAGTATCTCGAGTCACCAACCTGCCCTCAAAATTAGTTACATGGAGAACCTGGCCCCGAGGGGGCGGGCGCAACCACGATCATTAGTCTCCTCGCCGGGCGGCGACTGAGATATAGGAGGGGCAGCCTCGGCCAGGCGGCACCGAGCCGCCGGGAAAGACCGAAACCGGGTACCAAACCATTATGTGAACAGGATCCTGAGTATCAGGAACATGTAAACAGGCCTGTATACTGTAAGGAGAGATCCGAAAGATCTTACACAATCCAGGCAACTGGTACCAGATCAAGCCACCATGTCGGGACGGGTCAGAACCAGGACAGGGTCAAACCGGACCTAGGTCCTTGACGCCCGTGTCCAAAGCCCATACAGAGCCGACCGCATACAAGGAAGGCCTGTACCACCAGAGGTCGGCCAAGAGGGCTGTTTTTTGTAATTTTTTTTACCCCGCCAGCTTCTTTCAGCAAAGAGCTTCAAGTAGTCGAGAGTCTCAGCTTGATCGATAGCAACGGAGAAGGGTTGTTATTGTAAGAGTTAACATTAGACTCATTCCCTACTTTTACTTCTCTAGTCTCTTCTTCCCCATACATATTCATTTCACATCAATTTTGTTAAATATAAATCGTTACAAGAGCTGGACTGGACTTATACTGTGTCAGACGTGTTGTTTTTAGAGCTCTGTGGGCATGTGATAGGAAGAGACTTGATAGGAGATAGGACTTGTGAGTTAGGCAGTGATTTGGAAGATTGGTGTATGATTGATTGGCAAGAGTTTATTTTATTAGTTTACAGCATCTAAAATAGGCCGTATCCCTCCTCCTAGCCGTAGTCTAATTTGTGCCCAAGGCAGACATCGACTTAGAAAAACACATGACCGAGACATGACCGGGACATGGCTATACTCCATGACTACCCGCGGACGGGAGCAAGAGGGGTACGGGGTTCGGGGGATTCACTCGATTAAATACACTCGAGACCGACGGACAGTACCCTGAACGGGAGGGTTGGACAGTCTCTTACGACTCCCAGCCCGTCTGTGACGGGAGGAAGCCGTCTCCTGAGGATTCAGGCCGTTTTCAGTACAGCGGGATCACTCAAACTGCACGTGTCACTGGCTGGAGCAGAGCCAGTGATCGGGTTCCGAGTGTCGATCAGTGGCCGCAATGGCGACACTCTTCCCCCGGGTCCGAGTGTCAGTGGCCGCAATGGCGACACTCTTCCCCAGAGCACGAGCGTCAGTGGTCGGCAAGCCGACGACGCCCGCCTCTATCGTGCGGTGGGGACTAGTGATCGGGTCCCAACAATGGATGTCATACCGAGCCCGACAGAAGTCGAGCCGGCAAACAGTAACGAGCTTGTCCGAGAGACGGTAGTAGCGCTCCCTAGCTTACCCACCGCCACACCGAATGAACGAGTGGTCGGCTTGACGAACACACTTCCATTAGCTGCACTAGCTGGCGGAGAGACGCGGGTACCAGGCTCCGACGTATCCATTACAAACCTGCATACAAAGAGAAAACAAACAAGAGAAACGCCAGACAAAGAGAGCGAGGTCGAAATAAACTCCCCGCTCACTTTATTTCCAGCTATGGGGCTTTCACATATACTAGAGAGAGTGCTGTGCAGCGCCAATGGCTGCTCCCACAGGCTCTCCCTTTCTTGGCATTTTTCAAGCTGTCAGAGGAGACTTCTCATATTGATTTTTATACCAGATCATAGAGGAAGTGGTAAAGAGAAGAACTATGGCTCCTGTCAGAAATATGAAGTCACCATTCTTTTGCATTTATCGTTTGATTTTTGCTGTCATTTTCTATCATCATGCACCAGTTCACCATTGGACTTCAACACATAGCAGTGCAGCTCCTTTTCATCCAATTGTGTTCTTTCAGACTGCCCCGCCTACCATTTTTTCACTGGACTCTCTCAGAGGATAAGCTGTCTATTATCAACCTGGACTCTTTTGGTTTGAATCAAGAGTCTCCCCATTTAGTCATGGCTTTGAATGTGAAGCTTATTCAGTACACAGCATTGTATCTTCACATCTTGCGTCCCATTGATGATGTTTGTAAACTGGACAGTGAAGTGTGCCTCAGGATCAAGTCTCTGCACTTATCACGTAAAACATGCACTGTTCATGTAGATCAATGTGGGTCATGTTTGAGATACTGGAAGGGTGGCAAACGACGACGATGGAGAAAACGTGGGAGGAGAAGTGGCAAATGTATAAAATGCCTTCAACCAATCCCAGTCGTGGTCTCTACATCAGACCAATACCCATGGTACCGGCCTTTAAGACGTATATCGCCGCGTCCAAATCCGAATCTTATCTATCTGATTCAATCGCAGCAAACGCCTAGGTGTACTGCTAATGGATCTCGATCTGGTCAGGCTCGTCTCAGAATTGGACACTGGAATGCACGCTCCATGAACAACAAAACGACAATGATTTGTGACTTGATCATAAGCAACGACTTAGATCTTCTGATTGTGACCGAACCATGGCTGCGGGGAGGTCTTTATGATGATCCTATTATTGCAGACGTTGTAGCGACTTTGCCTGACTTTCATGTGGTACATGAACACCGCCAGAGTCGGGGTGGTGGTATATGCATCATATATCGCTCTTCTTTGAAAATCACTAGAGACTGCTCTACAAAATTCTCATCTTTTGAGCACGTGGATATTCTGGTCCGCGTCTCTTCTTCTGTGGTTTTTAGGACATTTGCCATTTATAGGCCTCCCCCATCGTCTACAAACAAACTGACGTATGACAATTTTGTGGCAGATTTTCCGACACTGTTAGAATCTGTAACAATCGATCAGCATCAGCTTGTGCTCATGGGAGATTTCAACATCCATGTTGACGACGAAACTGACAGAGATGCTAGGAAATTCCTCGATATCTTAGACACATTTGATCTTCAGCAGCATGTAAAAGGTGCAACTCATCGAGCCGGTCATACCTTAGATCTCTTGATTTCCAGAAAGGTTGATCATCCTATTGTGGCCATGGACGTCGTACCAGGACTTCCTTCCGATCACTCGGCAGTCCTGACTACGCTCAATTTTGTAAGTCCAGCAACTTCCAAGAAGCAGATAACTTGTCGGAAACTTCGGGACATTGATGTGGTTCAGCTTAAGAATGACATACAAACCTCATTGCTTACACTTCCTACAGCCAAAGATGCATCTGACATGGCAGAACAATACAACATCGTACTAAAGGAGCTACTTGACAAGCATGCGCCTGAGCGATCAATACTTGTCACAACCAGACCAAAAGCTCCCTGGTACACCAATGAAGTTCGTGAGGCAAAACGATCTAAACGGCGTGCTGAACGTAAATTGAAAAGTTCTGGTCTGGAAGTTGGTCGTCAACTGTTCAAAGAGGAATGTAAATCCTACAATGCAGTTCTATCTCAATCAAAATCTCGTTACTTGATCGACGAGATTGCGCAGTGTGACACCAAGCATCTTTTCCAGCTTGTTCAGACGCTTTCCCGCCCAAAGTCACAGCATCTTCTACCGGACCATGAGTCAGACATAAATCTGGCTAATGATTTTGGACAATTTTTCTACAACAAGATTCAGGACATCGTCACCAATCTTCAGGGGATTACTAGCCGCTCATCAGATTGTGAGGATGGAGTGACGACGCACAAACTTTCTTCTTTTGAACCTGTATCAGAATTGGAGGTGCAAAAGGCGATCCGTGAGAGTTCTTCTAAATCGTGCCGACTTGACCCAATACCGACTTGGCTCATGAAAGATTGTATTAATGAGCTTGTACCATTTGTAACTGAACTTGTTAATCTGTCCCTGCCTTCTGGAGAGGTACCTGCAGCGTACAAGACATCACACGTCACTCCTCTCTTGAAAAAAACATCTTTGGATCGAAATGAGTTTAAAAACTACAGACCGATCGCGAATCTTCCTTTCATCGCCAAGACTCTAGAGAGGATTGTAGCTGATCAGCTCAGGACACACTTAGAAGACAATGGTTTATATCCTGTCATGCAATCCGCATACCGTCAGTTCCATTCGACAGAAACAGCCCTCTTGAAGGTTGCCAACGATCTCTTGTTAGCCATTGACAAAGGACTTGAAGCTATTCTTATTCTGCTAGACTTCTCGTCTGCGTTCGATACGATCGATCATAGCATGATGATACAACGTGCTGTAATAAATAGGGATTTGAGGGAGTCGTCCTGCAGTGGCTTGCCTCCTACTTGGAAAATCGATCTCAGGTCATCGTTCTCAATGGTGTCCAGTCCGAAGCATTTCCACTAACTTGGGGAGTACCACAATGATCCGTTGTGGGACCGTTGGACTTTATACTCTACTCTGGTCCCCTCAGTGACGTCATAAGGTCCCATCAGGGTGTTGAACACATGATGTATGCCGACGATACACAAATGTATCTAGAACTGAAGCAAAGTGAAATCGCCAGTGGGGTGGTGCGACTGGAGCAGTGCATCGCAGATGTGAAAGTCTGGGCTCGTGATAACAACCTCATGCTTAATGGTGCCAAGACAGAACTCATGCATGTGACGTCAGCATTTCGAAAAGCCAGTGAGCTGCCAGATTTCGAAGTCGACTGCAATACAATCAATCCATCAAAATCGTCTATTAATCTCGGAGTCGCAGTGGATGATAAACTTACCATGAAGCAACATATTCAGAAATCATGCAGAGCCGCTTCGTTTGGAATTTATCGGATCGGAAAACTCCGAAAGTACCTAGACCAAAGTTCTACTGGGCGCCTAATAAATGCATTTGTGACATCACACATTGATTACTGTAATAGCCTGTTGATAAATCTACCCAGCTCACATCTGACCAAACTCCAACACATCCAGAACACTGCAGCCCGTCTCCTCACACGCACAAGAAAGTACGAACACATAACACCCATTCTTCGTTCTCTTCACTGGCGCCCCATTCCACAGCGCATCCAATTCAAGGTACTGCTTCTCACCTACAAGGCCCGTAATGGACTTGCTCCGGTATACATCAATGGACTCATTTCACCAAAGGTACAAACCTCCTCCATCAGGCTCCGCTTATCATCATCTGTTCATCTTCAACTATCATCTGGTCCTCGAACTCACCGGCACCCGCTATGGAGATCGTGCCTTCTCTGTATGTGCTCCTAAACTCTGGAATAATCTCCCCGTCTCTGTCCGTGAATCCCCAACTTTTGACACTTTTAAACATAGACTTAAGACCTATTTATTCAACACGAAGTAATTGTCCATCATCATACCGTATTTATAACCACATGTCCTATCTTCTTGTAATCTATTTATTGTCTAATGTACATAATTATTGCAGTTTCATTAATGATACTTAATTATTGTATTTACATTTTCATTTTTCATTATCATGTTATTGTTATACATTGTTAGTTAAGTAATTCGTCCAAATTAAGCGCATTGTTCATTTCACGTTTCTTGTTGATCCTTATTACATATTTAGTTTAACCGTACTTTTCATTTCACTTGTTTTGTAAAGCGCTTAGAAACTGTACTTGTATACCAGGGCCCGTATTCAATAAACTTCTAAGACATTTTTCTTAAGTCTAAGAAAATGTCTAAGAATTTGCCTAGGTTAAGAAAGTTGCCTTAGCCGTATTCTAAACACGTAAAGCAGTTTGTCTTAGCTAAGACGAAAGATAAGACAAATTCTTAGACCCGATGACGTCATGTGGGAAAGTTGATGTGGTCGGCTCGAGCGAATTAATTGCAACTCGATTTGCCTATGTAATTTGCGTGTTAAAATAAAAATCGCACCGCACGAAAATTATACACTAACATGTATGGGACAGCGTAAGGGAGGAACGATGCTCACATAATTATTTCGGGATTGACCAACTGACACTAAAACAGTCTAGTCAAGACCACCTGAGGATAGATCTAACATCCACTGTAGGCTTTTTATACTTTTCTGTCAAACAACTCCGAGGAGCCCAACCGGGCTTACTTATTATGTCGCAGCCGCAGGGTCTGTGAGTATGAAGTGAGCGCTGTCACTAGCCGGCCGACCAGCGCTAGCATTGGATTTGGAGCTACCCTTTCATTGTTTTACATCGTCTACTGTTATGATGGCCTAAAATTAATCAAATGGCTAGATGTAACCTTTATCAGACTCATACTATAACAAATTTTGTCTCACCTAATATTATGCCGATTGCACATTATTCCCTGTTTCCATACTTTAGCGCCAAAGACTAATAAAGTAAGAGACGGTTTCTTTATATACGACAGCCATGTCATGATTTAGTGTTATGCATGTATGCTACTACTCGTTTAGTTGTGTACAAACAAACATACAGTACAAGTACACAGAGCCTAGCCTATGGCTTGGCGCTCCTGCGCGCTGCGCCGTCGACGCTGTATACGCGAAGCTTACGTTGTTATATAGGTCAACTGATAACCTGCGCTCGCGCTGCATGCATTGTTTTTATTCCATTTGATCGAAACCCGAAGCGGTTGCTTGCAGCATCACTGAGCTGCCGGTGCCAAAGCCCCATTTAAGCATCCTCGTAGTATGCTTAAATATAGGGTAGATTTCTTACTTATCTTAGATATCTCGATTGTATTAGAATACGACATGCTACTTAAGTCCTTTTTCTTAGATAAAATCTAAGAATCCTTCTTAATCTTAAGGCAAATTTCTTAAGTCCCCATTGCTGTTATAGAATACGATTTTTGGCTAAGATTTTTTCTTAGCCAAAATTTAAGAAAAAGTACTTAGATTTCATGCTTAAGAAGTTTATTGAATACGGGCCCAGAGCTATATAAATCTTAAATATTATTATTATTATTATACACTCCGGGACCGTACGACGAGTAAAATTTGGGACATTTTGGGAATTTTCGGCCGGTGTCCGGCCGGCTGCCGTAAGGTTCCTTCGGGTGCCGGGACAGTTTTTTAAGCCGTACGGGCGCCGTGGTGCTGAATTGGCTGCTTCCAATTCTCCCGGCGTTTTTATCTGACCGTTAGGTCGTAGAAAGCCCGTAAAGGACCCGTAGGGCACCTTACGGGTTCCGTGCGGGCTCCGGAGGTGCCCGGACGGCCCCTCACGATTTTGTAGGGTAAATTCTCATGAAAATCTTTACAGGCGCCTTGCGGTGCTCAAGTGTGCCGTACGTGAACCCTACGGCTCCCTCACGGGCCCCTCAAGAGCCCCAGTGATATGCACAATACCGGGCGTCTGCCGTCCAGGGGCCATTTGAAATGAATATTGCCCGTGCGGGCTCCTCAGGACGGCATTTCATAATGTACAACGCAGCTTTAAATACAGGAGGTGCGGATGTCAGAGGACACATAATTCAGTGCACCGCACAGCACCCGTCCGGGCGCCTTGAGGACCCCGGCCGGGCTCCGGCCGGGCACCTTCCGGGAGTCATAGGTGCACCTGCTCATCGGACGGAGCCCGTAAGTTTACCGGACGGCATCCTACCGGCTCCCTTACGGGCGCTTGCATTTCACTCGACCAATTTTCACCGGGCACCTACCGGGCACCGCAGAATATGTGACCACACGCGTAGAAATTAAAATCGGAAGCTTCTCGTACGGTCTCTAAATCCACGGCAAACCGCCGGGTAGGGAAAATCGTACAGGGCCATGTTTATATATGACCTAGGCATAAACAGTTTCAAATAAAATGTTTTTATTCTAAACTAAACCCAACAGCATGCACGAGAAATAAAACTAAACAATCATGAACAGACAATAGGTCGCACCGCAGAAGCGGTAATTCGCGAAGCGTAACGAGCTAAGGCGGGACGTTAGGGCGATGAATAAATTAACAGCCTAACCACACGTAAGAAATCCCAACCAGCAAGTACCGTAACGCCTGGACCAAACGCCTTAACCCAAGCGGCGTACCGAAGCCTGTAATTTACGGTCGTGAAAGAGGAAATATGCGGAGCAGAAATGATACTCAAATTTCCGTAAAAATAGACATGTGACTTGGGAACCCGTACCACCAAATTAATAGCAATTAAAAAGAGGGCGGAATTCAATGCGTAAAAAGAGCTCAGCCTAGCGAAAAAAGGAGAAAAACCTTGATTTTAAATGTGACTCAGCAGTAACGATGTCTCTACCGGTAGACGAGTCAGAATAGAAAGAGGATTAATGGCTTAACGTTTATAGTCGGCGAATAACAAAAATCAATATAGGGTCCAGAACTAGACTAGATGGGGAGGGTTAAGAGCACTTTTTTTGTCCCGGATTTTTTTTTTTTTTTTTATAATATTGTTTTAATTGTTATTTTTTATTATTAAAACAAATTTGAGGGGGGTGGGGGCGTTTCCTCCAAATCACACACATTAAAATTTTGAGGGGGTCGACCCCCCCCCCCCCCCCCCCCCCGCTGCGTACGCGCTTGTATAGTAACATAAACAAGTCAGATCAAAAGAAGTTGAGATTATACAGAACAAAATGGTGAGATTCATCAAGTGTTCTGGTCCAAGGACTCATGTTGGCTTCGGCGAACTTTCTAAAGCTGGTTTACTTGAAGTCAAGCAAAGATCAAAACAACTTGTATTGCATCACGTGCACAAAATATTATAGTATTAATGACTGCTTTGAGAAACATAGTATAGTATTAATGACTGCTTTATATTAAAGCAGTCATTAATACTTTTATATGCCGAAAAAAAAAAAAACTTTTTTCGAAGATGGGATTCGAACCCTTGCGTTCAAAAGGCGATGTAGCTATAGTTAGCGCCTTAAACCGCTCGGCCAGCGCGCTCAGTCACCATATGTATTAGTTTTTTTTAATATATACATTAAAATGGATTGAAAACGGCTTCGCGTGGTCGATGCTTCGCCGCTGCTCCATTAAACGGGCCCTTCTTTTACTTTTGCAATGCATATTAGCACGAACTTAGATCAAGATCTATCGGCAGATGTTTTTTGTTTTTGTTTTTGGAAGTTTATTTTCATCTTCATGTCAACAATGCAAGATAAAATTGTCGGTAAGATCGATCGAGATTCAATTGTATTGAAATTACCGACCAATTCTTCGAACACGTACGGTATCCGCGATCGCTCAGACCATTTTTTAACATGTAACCCTATGGGGTAACCATGGAGACTGACCTATTTTCCCAATAACCATGGTTATTGGGATTTTGAACTGTTTTTTAACCATGGTTACCGGGAATTTTCGGGAACAGTTAAAGTTTATGAATGCAATTTCGACCAATCAGATTGCTGGATTACTTAAGTGAGGTATATAATTGTTTTTATACGCTCAAGGGAAGGTTACAATCGAGCAA